CACTCGCCCTTTTTGCTCGGATGGGCACCGATCAGCCAGTTACTTTCAAATGAGCAACGAATACAGCGCTGCAGCAGAATGTATGTGAAGTAGCATCGAACGAGCTTCTGTTGGTCCACTCCCTTGGCCTCCAGATAGCTCACTGAAGCCAACGATTTCAAGAAATTGTCGGAGTCTAAGCAGAAAGAATTTTTGAAACTTTATAAGGAAGTTTGCTCGTCAATTTCTGACTGTATTTTATTGCAGCGAAACGAAAATGTCTTGCCGCAGCCGGATTCGTGGATGGGCACGAGCTGAACAGTGGACAGTTCGTGAATGTCTTCGTATTTTCCGATCGTGAGCCATTCCTGGCGCTCCTCAGTGAAGGCTAGTCAATGTGCTAATTTGTCTTAAACGTATTCGGGCCTGTTGAGTTAGGTTTGCAACAAGCATTAGCATTTCTTGATATGCTGACACTGTGATCAGCTGTTTGTTTCGCCGCAACTTTTATACTCGCTATTGATAGAGTTGGCAATTTCTCTATTCTTCACTGCTTTGAGCTGCTTCTATCCAAATATTTCATTCAGGTAAATCCATCCAATTCGGTCGCGAGCTCCCCTGTATTATTTTAACATATAATGCTCATTATATGTTTTATCTGAAATGTACTGCTTGTTTTTCAAAAAGTGAAAATAATCATTTTCGAATTACTAACTCAGCGAATGTCAGCGCCATTCCTATAAAGTTTTAAATTTGCGCAAGTCTTCCAGTTTGAGAGCACTGGAAGGGGAGGGCGAAGGAGAGACAGTAGCCAAACGGACCTGAACACGATTATTTTGCATGATTGGCAAAGGGAACTCGTAATCCGCGCTGTGGAGCGTTGCAAAGGCAGCAGATTTTGCTGGAGATAAGTAACTCAGAGCGAAAGGGCTTAGTTATATAGGGCAACGGAAGTGGCTTCTTCTGAACAATATCTGAGCTTGGTGAAGAATTGGTAAACTTGATTTTTGTTGTAGACAGACTTATAAGCAGTGCTGCGGATATTAGACGAAGCAAAACGACCTGACGTAAAAAAGTTAGGGACGGTAAAGGGGTAATGTCTTCAGTTCGGTTTATCCCCATCTCTTGAGGATCGCCTAGGCAAGCAGCGTGAAGTTCTCTGTGTTACTGGAAAGCAGTCATACGTCAAGCGTAACAGTATCGAATGCAAATATTTTAACTTCCGTTTCTTTAGGTTTAACTCGCATCTAGCAGTGATCTTTTGCAGACTGTCCGAGTGATTGTTCTGCTTCTCGCGGACGAAACAACGAAGTATTCTGTGGTCACTAAGATAAATCCCATGAAAAAAATTTGACTGCGGCTAAACAGATATATAGTTAGGAGGATACGGGCTAAAAAATTTAGGAGTTGGTTACGTTTTTCAGTTTTAGGACTAATCAAAAATGCTAGGAGCGCTAGCAATCAGTAGAGGATTTCCGTCGTCAGTGATAGTGCTGGCACGCTCCCACACACTAGATCGGATGAAAACATCTCAGAAAATCGGCATTTTCAGTTCGGTCGCATTGATCATAGACGTGAAACATCTAAACAATGGTATTTTGCAGCGTTTGTAAGAATTCAGGCGGAGAAGCTGGTGGACGACATGGATTCCGGAAGCGCACGGCTTTGGTGAGTGCCTACGCTTCGTACTTCTGTACAGCTGCAGTTTTTTCAAGCAAATTAACACGGAGGGCAGTTTAGGGCAGCGACAATGTCTGGCGAGAAGATGCGGTGTCGCGGAGTTGCGTTCGGCTCGTACACGTTGGCCAATCTGCCATGCGACGTTTGGTGCGACGTAACAGTTGCAGCATTTGAAAGTCTCGAGGACGTCCAAGTTCGTGGGCCCGGTTCGTGCAGCATTTTAATCTGCTCAAAACCAATGGTGATTTTTCGGAAACTCTTTGAAAATTTCCCGGAAAAATCGGCGAGTAATTACAAATAATTCTACAAGCTGGCAAAT